AAAGTAACAGCTAAGTACATACTGAAACGTGGTCAATTTCCGGTGTAGATCCGTACATGGGAAAGAGGAAAGAAAATTCAGAGAAACTTTGCAAGTCGCAAAACATTTTAAAGAAGTTTGGTCCATGGGTAGCCGATAGACATCATCCCCGAGAAACTATCCTTTCTTTATAACTCAACTAACACATCTGTATGTCGTTCAGATAAATGCTTTTTAAATGATGTTACGGAGACCATAAACAAATCCACTTCGCAATAGTCTTAACAATAAAAGCATGGATACCCCACATGTTCAGAACAAACAGTATATTTCTTCCCACAATTTTTTTTTGTTTTTGTTACCTCATGAAAGGTTCATTAGTTTTTGATTTTGGGTTCGGTTTTGCGATTCGAATCGTTAGTACTTAGATATTTCTTAATATACCATTCGATAGTGAATGTGGGGACAGAAAATATTAACGATTCCTAGGCAGTGGTGTCATTTAAATATCGAGACTTTAAAAGGATTGTGAAGTTCATATTGTTAAGTACGAAGTGGCATATGGTAACTATCATAAAACTGTATAATTTGGAATCATAAGTAGTTATTTCCTTTATAATACAGATATCACCCATTCTAATGATTGTTTGAGATAAGAGAACTATAAATTTACACAAGTAGATATTGCATGAATTTATTGCTCGTGGCTGTCTTGATAAGTTTATCTCATGAAGAAATTATGAGCAATTCTTATATATCAATTAACGTTGATATAAATGCATTTAATACCCTTTGTTGGTTTAAAGTATTTGATAGACCGATTTCATATCTCTCTGAAATATATTCTAAAAAGAATCAATTCTGATAACAGAAGGGTTTGAATCCTGATCAATGATATGTAAATTAGTACTTAACAATCTCCTCAACAATATTATTACTTAATTATTAATGTATGTTGTAGTTTTAATTGAACTAGAACATTTTACTTCAAATATGGAGTGATTGAAATAAAAGTTTACATATTTCGTTAGCTATGAATCTTCGTAACTACACTAATAGAACAAGAAAGTCTAGTTTCCTGTATTTTTGTCCTACCTGCTTGAAAAAGCTATTTTGAATAACCGAACCGTGGTTCATCCAACTTGATAATTATGTCCCTTGTCCATATATTTTGAATTTTGGAAGGAATACTATACAATAACCACTTTTTAGGGTCTGAACTACTTTGCTTGAAATCCGCTGTGTATGATGTAAGCTAATGTTTCGCTTATTTGAACATCTCAGTAATGTGTAGTGATACCTATCCAATAAGGTAACATTCTAGAGATCAAATCCTGGTTCAGGATGACAGTTGAAAATTTGTTGTTGAGTAATAATTCAGTGATAGAAACCAAAATATCTTACGTTATTTTGAAAAAATAAACTGATGATTCAATTTACCTGTTTCTATTTTTGAATGAAGATAAACACATGTGAACTTAGATATAATTAAATAATGAAAAACATAAAACATGCTAATTCTCTTAGAGTGAGATGATAATAATCTCGCCAAACAAGGTTCGGGGATTAGGCTTCACCAATTAAAATCTGTGTATGAATCAATTGCAATGCAAAGCTTAACACTTCTGTTTAACTTCCAAAATTCTTCTGCAGCAGTAATTGTTGTCGCTCCATCATCAACGTTCTAACATGGAAACACTAAAAGCAGATGTGAATATCAGAATTATCTCACTAAGTTCATAAAGTTATATTCATTCTCAATTCTGCAACGTAACAAACTGATGATGAAGCGTAAAGGGACTGGAAAGAAAACTCCAGATTTGATTCATTCATTACCGAAGTACTTACGGAAACTGCAGAGCGTTTCAATCTACTCAAGGTACTCCACATGCATGAGTTTTCTTGTACGTATCCAAAAAATCTCTGGAAGAGTGACACACATTTTGTACCTTTTTTTAAAAAAAAGTTTGAACCAAACTGGTTTGACACCTCGATCTTAAAACCGGCTAGATTTTAGAAACTACGGTAATAAAAACATGTAATGTATGCACTAATTATGGTAATTATCTTAATTGACGTGTATTTAAAATTCTGATTGCATGGTACGTGTACTTTAATACATTCTTGTCTAGAGGGCATCGTTATGAGAAAAATTAAATGTCCTAACAGTAGATGCTATTTGAATATTATGAATACATAATGTATCAGAAATTCTAGGAATTTTCATTGAATTAGCATAAATTGTAACTAAGTTATGTTTGGAGAAAGGGAGGTGGGTAAAAACTGCATTTAAAGACGAATCTCGTATCGATATAGTGTAGATTAATAAGGCGTTCATTTTGACTATGTTTTGGTACTATTTTGATTCTCACGGTTTCAATTCATTAACCTTGCATATTATGATTAAGTTATATTGTAATTGTAGACATGTTAAAGAACTGGAAGTATATCAACTGGTATTAATTAGCTAATTAATAAATAATAGATTAATTGATGTTAATTCTGTAATAATGTACCTGTCTAGACAAGTATATTAATGAAAAAGGTCGGGACGAGCTAAGGAGAAAGGTTAATGGTTGGAAAAAATGCCATTTCATGTGAATTTGATACCTCTCTAAATTCATGTATAGGAATTGGTGTTGATCATGATGTCTCCCTTTCAAATTAGTATTTGGCTTTGTCAGGTTGGGATGTTAGCTGAAAGTTGGTGACTCGGATAAGCATTATGGACAATTGGAAATATGTAGAAATTATACCAATGATATTTTTATTGATACCAAACTCTATTAATTGATGATGGTTTAAAGGAGTACATAGACCAAACAATTCGAGTAGTCAGGACGATTGAAAACTGGGCATATGGTTGAAAATCGGAATTGGGGATTTCATGGCTTTACAAAAATAGTTGGAAAATTGTTATTTTCATACTATAGATATCCTGAAGTTATAACCGATGACTCTAAGAGGAGTTGTGATCAAGATATTCATAGCTGAACATTTAGGTTCAAACTTTGATTATATTGTTAAGTGTAAATTTTTGATAGAAAGAACAACTATTCTAGTCTATCAAACTTAAACGAAGCGCGAAATTGTTTCAATTTGCCTTGATCTTTTTGTGGCTTATCAGTATTTTCCTAGGTTCATTTTTTATAGAACAACCACATTTGGCACGATTCGAACATCATTATACAATAATTACTGAACTTTTGTCATAAAAAATTCAAACTTAATCAAACCCTCATGATCTTTTAAGTTCAAAAACAACCTGCTATGCTAGATATAATACACATTATTTAGCTACACTTAATATTTTTAAGAGCTCTTGTGAATTCCGTAGTTGAAAAAATATTTTACTACCTTTACATGTACTACACATCGGTTAGTATAGTCAAGATGTTTACAAATCACATAACAGTTCATCAAGTATTTTATTCTACAGTCCATGTAACCTGTTATTCTACAGTTCATATAACCTGTTATTCTTAATATCATGTGACCTGTTATTCTGCAGTTCATATAACCTGTTATTCTTAATATCATGAAGATAAAGTGGTCGATGAGATTGGGAAAAAAGGAATTCTTCTAATATTTTAGTCTTTTCAATTTTAAAACCCTAATCTAAAATAACACTATTAGTCTAAGCAATCCCTTCAACAAAGCATTCACGCTAAATTTCACCCCAAAGATTCAACGAACCTCGAAAGAACCTAAATCGAGAAAAGACAGAGACATTTCTGTTTTTATAATTTTTATACAAGATTAGTAATTAGCTTTATATTCCATATCGTTGCAGATCGTTCCGAATAATTAAATCTTTCACGAAATTAAAAGAGTTAGTAATTAGGTTTCATTCATACGTTTCACTGAAGCTCAGTTGATGTATAATATGATGAGTATGAGTGTTTTATGACATACCATGATTGTTGTATGTTAGTGGGAAATGTCAGACTGTCCTGGTATTTTGTTGATTATTCCGATTAGCAAATTCCCAAAACAACATAGTAAAAACGTGCCATGTATAATGAGTTTAAAGAGGTACAGCAAGGTTCCAAATTTTTAGGTTTAATCAGTAGATGCTTTAAATGGGATTCAATGTGCACTGTGGTCTCATGATATTTATGGTTTTAGGTTTCTTGATGAAGCATTTATTTAATATAAGTTTTTACAGTTCAAATGTATAACCTTTTCAAAGAGAGTTTGACTCTATGATTGAAACTGTAACAGTTGTCAAAATGAAGTTGAAAATGTCTCAAATTGTGGCATCAAATCTAAATGTATCATATAATCGGAATAATGCGTTTTCTCTTGCCAATCGACTCAGAAATATTGTTTCTAAATCAAACCGTTTAAAACTGGAATAGATTTCTACACCCCGAACATAAAAAGAAGAAAGAATCGAATTCGATAGTTGAACAATTACTTCAACAATTTCTGAAAACAGTTAAGAATTTTTATCAGTTTTCTCGTTGCATTTTATTTATAGAACGTACTCACATTTCCTGCTATTTTACGGTCATTAAAAGTCGTTTAACCGATATGCTAGAGTATTATTAAGATACAAAAATTACTTTGTGAAATTTAATGAAACATAAAAATACCCCACACATAGTCTCTTTTTATAATGACATTAGTCTATCTTAATTACTAAATGTTCACATTCGAAAGAAAACTGATTGTATTTCATGATCTATTATAAGTGATTTAATTAAGGTGGAAATTCTTGTATTTATATAACATGGAATTTAACAGAAACACGCCTTTAATATACACAAATTATTTACAACATTTTACAAAATTCCATAAAATATTTTGTATAAAATATGCATGCCATTGATTTTCAAGATGGCCGGAATATCCATAAGGCAATTTGGTTTCCTGTTAACAACACTGATACGTGGATAGATTGCAAGGTTTTGCAAGATAGTTTGCTATCTGGACGCATCTGAGAAATACATGCAATCATGACGGAGCCAATTTACACAACAAAGAGATGGGACAGTAATAGATCGATTCGCTAGTGAATGGCAGGACAGAGACCTTCACAGTTTGGTAGCTTGGTGTCTCTGGGGATGCTAAAATTAATCGAATTGTCTGAACTTCTGTTGACACTGTGTGATTATCCATTTTGTTTTTTGATTATTATAAGTTTTGTGGTACAAGTGTATCAAGTATCCATGTCAGGTTAGAGAGACAAGATTTAATCCTAAATATGATGCGTTGGAATACAAATAATTGAGGGCAAACTCTCTTGCAAGAGCTTTGGAAATTCGTCTACCGTGCGACGTGATGGGAGTTCTAAAATCACCGCTGATTTAGATGACCATTGCTTTGCCCCGCCCCTCTTTTACCTCACCTGTCTTTCAGTGATAATTTAAATGATACATGTTATATATTTCAGGTTTGCCAAATGATAAAACACAATGGTACTCACAGGCTCAAACAGAAATATCCTACTCACGAGATGGGGACGACTGGGTTATTAAAGTAGGCATAAAAGGCATTCCAAATGGTCGAGTGTTCCGGTTTAAGTTAGGCGAACCCTATGATTCCGCTGATATAGACGGATCACCAATGAAAGTAAGAGTCGTTACCATTTAATATTTAGTTTCAGGCGGAGTTTGGATGAAGATGTTATGGGAGATAACACCGTGAAGTGTTCAGTATAACATTGCTAAACGAAGGAATGTCGTAGAATCCAACTGCTCTAGTCCAAAATAAAATCTTTTTTTCTTTCTAGAAAGTAGAATTAAAAGAACATGAGGCAACTGCTATTTTTGGGCAATGGTATGTTAGGGCTGATACTTTGATTAGATTCTCCCACATGCCGCCAGTTTCTGGAAGTGGTTTAATCAGGTTTCTCTCTGATGAAGATGCCGACTTGGTCCCCATTTAAAACATCAATATGTATATGCATAGCTTAGAAAAAGCTCCACCAGCTTTTAAAGCCAACAAATAGACAAATTTATTCTACATATTCTACAACTCTGCATGATATCTTTTGTAGAGTTTAATACAAGCGTGTGGAAATAAGTTTCAAGAAAAACACAGTGCTGCTAGTTTACAAGGTGAAGAAATGGAAATAGAACGATGGATAGAAAATGATAGAATGATTGTGGTAAATATCTTATATGTTTAATAACCTGATACGTTTTTTCTCCAAAATACGTGACAGAATGTACATAATCAATTCAAAAAATTTTTCTGGCTTGCACCTTTGCTTTTTAACAGAGCTGCAACATTTTGAAACTCGACAGTATAAGATATCCTATTTGTACCCCTAGTCTCGGGAGGCTGGCGGCGCCATTGGTGTTGAGGTCAGAATTCTTATAGTTTCTGCTAAAATTCTGTTAATCTGTATTTTCTGTATATTTCAGCAAACAAGTTGTAAAGGAGCAATGATGAAATCTCAATATGTTCGTGTAAATTGATGGGTCTCAAAGCTTATTGTGCTCAAATTTTAATGCTGTGTCGTGGCAATCCGACTTCATTTACATCTGGATCTGAAATAGGCAACTATTTCTGTTGATTTTACTGTTGCTATTTTCAATATGAGTTTGTATGATGGATTAAGAAAGATAATCTGATTGATGTTCAAGGTGTAAATGTTTATAATAGCTTATTATTATAATGTCGCTATAAATGATTTTTTGAAATGCTTCAATATTGACATTCATAAACTTAATTTATTTTCAACATAGTAACTTTCATTGGCTTCATTGTAATGTGTATGTGTTAGAGATATAGCATTCGTGTTGCGAAGGTTTTTACATTCTTCTAGGTATTTGCTTAAAACGATTCTTTACAGAGGTACGATAAGCAGAACAACATCGGATAACCGATAGCTTTAAAAAGACTAAACGGCGTAGAGATATTAACAAGAGACATTTAGAACAGATCTTTTCAAACTAGATAATAATAGAACATTTGATCGAGTGAATCCTAGCCCTTGAATTTTTTGGAAGATAAGAAATTTCATGTTAGTCATATTCCTAGGTTTTACGAAGGAGGTTTAACAAACTATTGGTCCTTGGTCTATACAGATATTTTAGCAGCTGCAGGCTGTAAACCTCCAAACTGATATCATGTTGGTTATCTCTACTAGAGTTCAGTCCCATGAAATATATATCTTTGCACCTTTATTTCTAGATGTATCAGTGTACGGTATATGGAATATATCAATTACAACCTCTGTCTCAAACATTGACGGAGCCGAAGGGGGTTGGGGTTGGGGGCCTTCTAGTTTGACTTTACAACTAATTTGCTACGAACGATTGGTTATTTTCTATGCCTTTAGTATTATTATATTGTGAATAAAATAAATATCTATGACTGATAGTATTTACTTGTGAGTTAGTTGCTTAAACAATATTGATTCATTTTCATACTGAAATGTGTCAATATCGTTACCCAAAAGTTTAGACGACTGTTAACCTTTATATCACATAACTTAGTGATGAAAGAAAACGTGTGCGCTGATCAGTCGAAAAAAAAAAACAATCCTCATCTGAAATCCACTTTTCCTGATTGCGCATAACATAATATGCACAGTCGAGCAATGATTATGTGTCTATTCAGGGAGGAATAAATACGTAACACAATCAGGCCGCTAATTTTTGTAGATAGTTCTATCAATTATAATGTATTAGAGGAATCAGTGGAAAAAACGGTAAAAGCACAATCAAAGTATTTTGCATTGGCTTCAAAGCACATCCGCGTATTTACTGTTAGAGCAAATGAAGAATACGGATAAAATTTTATCAATGGTTATCAGCGAGACAACCTACACCATACTCCAGATGAATGAGCAAAATTAACAATCCTTGGTTTTGCAAGGATTTCACTACTGACCCTTTCTCTCAACACTATTTAAGTAAACAAAGAAAATCCCAATGATCTGATTGAAAATTAAACATTATTATTCCAATATTTTATTAGTCCACCAAGTATTGTATTGCTATATATAACAAGCTACAATAAGAGTTTCAGTCTTCACATTCCTCATAATCAAAATCATATTGAAGATGTTCAGATGGGTAGGGTGGAGATTGGGGGTGTCTTGGAGGTGCAGGTGGTATTGGTAATTGGTAGATAGGATAGTTGTGACTTGAAGCGGATGGAGGTGAGCCTCGAGAAGGTCCCGGTCCGCTTTCTGGTGGATGAGATTTCGAAGGACGAGGATCGTGAACTGGTCCCGGCCTGTTCTGTGGTCGGTGAAGTTTTGGACGGTGGGGTTGGGGACGTGGAAAAGGTTGGTGAGTCTGTGGGTATCTGGATAAAGGACCATGCCCAGGTTTCCTTCTTGGTGGAGGTTTCGGTTTTCTAGGATATGCAGTTTGGCGGTTGTGTTCAGGAGGGGGTTGTTGTGGACGGGGTTTCGGGTCAGCTGGTTTGTATGAACCCTCGTCGGTAAGCTTATAATCATTGTCGTCTGTGTTATAAGTGTTATCGGTTTCATCAACATCACTTTCGTTGTCACTATTCGTTGCATCGCCATTATTCCATGAGTATTGTTCATTATTGCTCCATGTATCTGTTTGACTACTTTCGTCATTGTCATCATCGTTCCAAGTGTAATCGTCATCATTATCGTCATTGTCTAAAGTGTAGTCGTCATTATTATCCTCATTCTTCCATGTGTAATCGTTATTATTTTTACCACTATCCCATGTTTCAGTTTGACTGCTTTCATCACTGTCATTATCATCATAATTCCAGGGATCTGCGTTGTACTCTTGTTCTTCCCCACTTTCGTCACTCATCTCACAATCCTGACAGTCTCCATTATTTTCCGACCACCTTTTCCTTCTCTTATGGTCATCAGTTAAATCATGAATTATATGACCCCCTTCCTTATCGCCATGTTCTGGGTCTTCATACTCTTCTCCGAATTCCCAATCACGAATATTATCTTCATCAAACTCCCAGTCATGAAAACGGTCTTCATCGTCAAAGATGGTTCTTTTTTTTCTATCTTTGTGGAAGTATCCGACGGTTTTCCAAAATGTTGTTGGCATATGTTGGTAAATGCTATTTTCTATTTTACCTTCTGTCAAGTATTGATTTTTATCCACGTATGGGGAAAAATTATTGTGTTTATCGGATACATTGCCGGAAATATGGACAGAATAAGATGGTTTTCGCTGTTCAGAAGATATACCCTTCATTATTGATGGCATGGAAACCACTGAGGAAATTGGTTTAGGTCTTGGATTGTAGTGTGGAAATCTCTCTGGAATTACTCCAAGGAATGGTGGTGGCGGTGGTAGAGGAGCCACTCCCGTATGTGTTGGTGTAGGTAAGGGGGCTAATCCCATATTTGGTGGTGGAGCTACTCCATGATGTGGTGGAGGTGGTGGAGCTACTCCTTGGTGTGGTGGTGGTGGTGGAGCTACCCCTTGGTGTGGTGGAGGTTGAACTACTCCTGTGTGTGGTGGAGGTTGTGAAGCTACTCCTTGGTGTTTTACAGGTGGTGGAGCTATTATTGACTGTGAATGTTTTGGTGGGGATACTCCTGAGTGTGACGGACTTTGTAGTGGAGCTACTCCTTGGTCGTTTGGTGGTGGAACTACTCCTTGGTGTGGTGGGGGTGAAATTGGCCGTGTGTGTGGTGGAGGTGGGACTACTCGTGTGCGTGGTGGAGCTAATCCTGATTGTGTGTGTGCTTCATTCTGATGTAGAGATGGTTCAAAGCTTTGTGATGGATAGCGGTTTCCATGTTGGTTTTCTTCAAAATTAGAATCTAATCTTTCCGTTTGAAAAATGCTTGGCGTATCTTTATAGCTCAGATAATTTGGTCTGTGTTTGACTGCAGGGAGCACGGGAGTGGTAGGTTTATTAGGTTCTCGTCTGTTGTAGTATTCTGACCAGTGTTTATTACCTCTTATCAACCGTGACGGTAAATCAATAATATAACCTCTATTCTGGTTAGAAATGTTGGCTCCATTGCCTAAAATTTGAAAAGATCACCTTTTAGAATTGGTCAACTAAGTATAAAAATATATATAAAGAATAAAAACCGCACCAATCATTGAAATTCACCATAGTGTACTAGCATCGATTTTTTGAGATTTCAAAGTCGATGAAGGGATAAAATGTTCCAAACAATTAAAGAAAACATAACAAGCATGAAAATATGCAACTCAAAGATTCTTTCTATCATTAAAATTCTTTTACACGTAAAAGTGAACTTACTTAACAATTTTAATTTATTTATCATATGAAGTATATAGTCTCATAATAAAAGACGCATTCATTGCAAAGTGAAATTCCATCATAAGTATTTCGTTTTATAGTATATTGAAATTGTTTTCATTTTCTTACAAAAGAAAAAATAGAACAGAATAGAAATGCTATATTAAATTAAACTAAATTTTACCTGTCGAGAATATTTCCAATACTACAATTGCTAATATACCCAACACTAGCTGCATACTTTAAACAATACTGAACAATGTGTTTATTAGGTTCATTTCTTTAGTTTTATACTTACCTGGTTTGTTTTTTTACAAAATCTTTTTTCTAAGAGTTGATAAAAAGACAATGGACAACTCAAACGATAATTAGAAAACTCTTTGTACCATTTTCCTTTTGACAATTTTGATCTTTCAAAGTGATGTCTAACCTGTGTCGTTTGGTACATCCCTGATTTACCATAGTGTTCAGAAACATAGTACCACGATGCAAATAGATCATTTTGCAGTCTAATTATATCCGGTATAAAACTTTCAAGACAACAAGGATACCGTTGCGCCATGATGCTCATGTTTGACAGAGAAAAACGTTATCATTGAACATGGTAGAAGTATTTGAAAAATGTCCCAGCTCGAGACAATCCAATCTACACAACTTTAGTACGGTTATCTTCAAAGACGATGACATTTCTTCTAAATAATTAGCTACACAGAGCACATGTACTTAGACTAAATTTTCTCTGAAAAAAATTCAACCAATTGACAAGTATATCGCTTTCTTTAGACAATTTGGTAGCAATAAATTCCTAAGAAACATTTAATATGAATTTATAATAAATTCCTGCCCTATACAACACTAGTTTTGTACACGGAACGGTGTATTTCGAAAAGCATTAGACACTGAATGTACCCTTTGTTCGCTTGACAAAATCCCAGTTTGAGAAAGGGCAGGAATTTGATTGGTTGGCGGTGTCATTAAACAGAAGAATGTTCAAGAAAGATGGTTATTTATAAAAGACATAAAATTCATTTCTATATTCTAAATCTAAAGAATATTTAATGGATGTCACCATGTTACGTCGAATAGCTACCAACATAATACTTTTCAAGACTCATTGTACCTTAACTTCACACATCTTCATTTGCACACCTTCACACATTTTTCAACAAATAATTTAATATCGAATTGCACTTTTGAAAAAACAAAAATAAAACCGTGTACAATAAGGGTAAAATATCACTTTATTGGCCAGTATAGACACATACTATATATTACATTGAATGGTTCAGGTACACTTCACAAAATTATACTTACACTAAGTTCTTCAAGAGAATGTTGGATAAAATATCCATAACTTTAATACTATCAAGTAGTAAAATTATGAGAATAAAGTTATTATATTTAGCCAACAATAGCCTTAGGCAGTAAGCGGCATTTTAGTGAAATCATAGAACTATCTAAATCATACACCACACATTTCTATAAATACAACAGAATTCATAAATTCAAAGTAAGTAACTTCAGAATATAAATTGTACATATTTTGTATAATTATTTAACTTTTCAAGATAATTTTTGTTTTCTTAAATAATGGAATGTAAAATACAACTAGAAGATTAAATTCATGGTGTTTGTTAAAATAATGTGTACTAGATGTATGTTTCAATTAAATACAGTTTTTGTTAATATCTCATTTGCATGTTCTAATAACGGATAGCATAAAAGAATTTATTTCAAGTTTAGAGATTTTGATAGCAATACAGTCAAAATCTCCTGGAAGTGGTTAATTATTAGAAAGAAAAATCTGAAAGAATAAAACAACATCAACAATTTCAATAAATAATAAATTTTAACAAATACAATATTTATAACAAATTCAATATTCTTATTACTCTTATTTAAATGAATATCATGCATCATGACAATATGGCTGAACAATATGGCTAAATTTAACCCTCCTAAAATCATATACCTCACATTGAAAAGTAGTATTATTAAAAGCATTAGTGTAGATCATGCATAGACATAGACTTACTTTTATAACCAATTAAAAATGAATTATATTTGCCAATGAAAATTAAGGTAAACCACATGAGCACCCTAACATCCTTTAGTTTGTAAAATAATTGAAACAGTTCTCCTTTGTTTTTTAATAACACAGCTGTTTCATCATTATAATTATGATTTTACTTATTATTATAGTATATACATATGACATGTGATATTTTAAATATAAATGTATCTGATAGAATGACAATGACTCTGATTAAATTATGGTAGTTTGATCAAAATTATCAGAATATATATCTTAACAAATAATACTAAATCATACCTTCATAAAAAAAACTTCAATCCTCTAAATATTATTGCCCTTGATTCAATCATAAGTAATGATAAAATATAATAAAGGTATCGAGAGACCAATTTATTGTGATAAGCTTGTATATGACTGGAAATTTGAGAGACAAGAAAAAAAAAACAACACCTGGCCAACAGACATGATAAAATTAAAACTAAATATATCTCATTCCCATTCCCTTCTCTCAAAATATTATATCATAAATAATTCTAATATAGCACAATAATATATACTTCATTATATACACTATTTACATATATTAACATCAAATTTACATATTTAATTTAATCACATTTCAGAAAGGAAATCTAACATGCAGCAGAAAGAAGATCAACAAAAATATCAGAACAATAAAATAATATTAAAATATATATCAACTGTCAAATGATAATTCTGATTATAAAATGTAGTTAACATCAAAATTGGTCAGAGCTATCCTGAATCATTAAATATATAACTAGTTTTCTATTCCCTTCAACCATCATCTTTAATTTATACAGTCAAACCATCAACATTTTGTCCATCTAAGTCTATTTTGGTATATGTAATCACTATCAGAATACCACTCTATCATATGAAGATTAAAAACCTCAAGAATAATGTGCAGCAAAATTACTAAAGATATGGTGCAGTACAGTCAAAGTAAATGCCTTATTTAGGATATTTTCTTCGTTGTCCATATTTCATTCCCTGGCTTGTATTAGGTTGTGTAGTGGCAGTAGATTGTTGAAACTGGTTAGGATCAAATAAAACTGGCATACTAGATGCTGTTTGGTTTATAGATTGGTTCTTCTGCAAAAAAGGGAAAAAAGAAATCTTAAAATAAGAAAATTGAATTAAATAGATTTTCATACAGCAATTTCTTAAAAAATAGGCAAACTTGAAAATTCAAAGCATATTTTGACCAACCATCTTAATTTCATGTGCTATAAACTATACACAAACGAATTGCTGAAAATTTGTATCTATAAGCATAATAAGTACCATTAAGTTAACGAATAATTCACATGCTAATAGAAACATGCAGCAGAATTAATACAAATTCATCAACACAAATAACAGTCTACAATGATATATTCCAACTGCATGCTTTTGGTAAAAGGAAGATTTTTGTATGCATGTGAAGCACATTCAACTAGATTCAAAAGTAGGCAATAAATGTCAAATCAGTTAAAAGCCAGAATTTAAGCAATGCATCAAGAAAAATTGAAAGGAATGTACATGCAGTAATAACTTGCATGCACAAAGGAGATATTGGGATAATTAAAGCAGTAATAATAGCAATCAAACAAGATTCATACTAAATGAACACAATGCTATATATTATGATTTGAGTGTTAAGATCTGAAGTAGTACTAAAAGAAAGATTGTATAGAAATGTATGGCTATAAAGAAGATAATACAAGATAGATACACTTCTAAGTTAACCTCATGTTTTTAGTATTTTATTAACTATTTAGTATATTATTCACTTAGTTGTAAACATTAATGGATGAGCAAATATATTTAACAATAGATTCTGAGGGCCATTTTTATGATTCATATTAAAACAAAAGTTCAGCTATTCAATAGTTTTCAGCCTATTCATGTGTATAAGGTTCATTTATACACACTATTTTCACCATAGAGACTTCCTGTCAGACATCTGGATTATACCATTCAAGACCTGTGGTTTGTTATCACAATAGTGAAGTCTAGCACTCAAACTTATTCAATAGTAGCTAAACATGTCCCTTAAACATGAAAAATTCTTTTTAATCCATCAATATTAATATCTTTGCTGCATCCAATAAAGCAAAGATTAAAATATGTAAATGAAAAGAGAACAAGTTCTGAAGTAAATACAAAAATAATAATAATAATTAAATAATTATATTAGACAGTCTGTAGATAGATCATATACCTGTAGATCAGTTAATTCCTCTACTTCTCTTGATAGAGAACTTCTAGAACTTGATCTAGATATATTCTGTAACAAAATTAATACGGTCTAATATCTTATATTCTTATCAAAACCAGGACAAACTCCATTCTCAGAATGTAAACATAAACAATTAACAACATATACATGACAATTTTTAATGTTATGTGTTATGTATAAACAATGTATTTGTTATTTTTACACAATGTATATGTTATGTATAATCTATATGTATTTGTTATATAAACAAAGTATGTGTTATGTCTACACAGTGTATTAATTGTTATGTATAAATAATGTATTTGTTATGAATAAATAATGTATATCTTAAGTATGATCAGTGTATTTGTTAAGTAAAAACTGTGTATATATCTGTTAGGTTAATAACATTATGAACGTCTTTTTTTTTACATGTATAAATAATGTATATGTTCTGTATAAATAACGTATGTATATATTTGTTAGGTTAATATCATTTATGAACGTCTTTTCTCACTTCTGAATAATGTATTTGGTTTGTTATGTAGAAACAATGTATTTGTTATAAATCACCTAAGTATCTTTTATGTATAAAAATATTATTCTTATCTATAAACAATGTAACTTCCCTTTTATTATTAAATGCTCATCTTGTATCATTTTCTGCTCATCTTTCATCTTTGCTTGTTATTGTTATATCTCTGATCATTACTTTGATAGATTTACCTATATATCTTGTGTTGTTAATCATTTAACTTTACCTGCATCTTTTGAAAAGTAGTATGTAATAAATTCAGTAGTAGTATATCTATATATCTTGTGTCTCTAATTTATTTGTTATTTATAAACAATGTATTTGTTGTTATCTAAACCTAGCTTTTGCAATTATTGCAATACATTTTTTATTTACTTTTATATGCTTTTTAATCATCAACAACCTATATTTGTTATTTGGACATGTTATGTGCTTCAAAATCAAAATGTAATCTTATTTTTGTTTTTTAAGTAGCCATATCATTTCTTTGTTATTTAAAACAACTACTTAAGTCAATTAAACTAAAAAAATATCTTTAAGTTTATAAAACAGTCTTAGCATTAAACATTTGTGAAATGTAACAGGACAGAATACAAAATAAAAATAAAAAATTAACAATGACTTTAAAAAAACTGAAATCCTTGAAATAATGTCAAAAGCATGCAATTGATTAGAGATGTTGAGAATGATCAATTTAATGTTTGGAATTACTAAAACAATCAAACTTAGCTTACACAAACAGCATGCATTATTTACAAATTCACTGAAATACGGCAAGTAATCTTTCAAATAACAATTAAAATTATAAAAAAACATGCAAAATAAAGACATTGATTATATTACCTGAGATGATGGTGGGATATCTAAAGATTGTTTATCATTTACTTGACTAGAACCAGCTGAAATAATCACAATATACTCTTGATCAAATTCCAATATAAATACTACATATTTTTTTTTAAGGAGGCCCAGTCTGTTTTCTGTTTGGTAATATATGAAATGTATTTATGATTTTGCATACTGAAAATTCACTTTGCTGAAAAAGTTTATGAAATGAAGCTGAAAGATACACAGCTGTTTTCAACCTGCTTTTAATTTCCTTTTCTTCAGATTTAGAAGAGGGGAAATGAAAATTTATTCACACTTATAAAAGAGAACAATTATTTTAGTTAACAAGTGTACAGTAACTAAATACTTACCTGAAGGATTATATATATTAGTATTTGTATTTATACTAGGTGCTGTATTTAATAAACTAGTAGTAGATACTGGTGAGGAATCAGATTTTAGTACATCAACATACTGATTTCTAGCACCTATAAAATATCATGCAAGGATGAAACAAAAATTTCTCACCAAAATAACAGAATATCATAATATAGATACCAATTTTAATGTTCAAATTATCTAGTGCATTTTTAAAATATAATTAATCAATTTTTTTGTTTTGATTAAAAGATGGGAAAGAAACCTCTCCAACATAAAAAAAAATAATGATTAAATAAATGCATAGAAATTCCCATTTATAGTTTTAATTACTACTTGTAAAGTTGAATTTTAAAACATATTTCAATTGAATCTTTATGTATATGAATTTCTTTAAATTAAGTTAATATAATGGCATAAAAACTTTCAAATGGGGGTAATTTTGAAACAAATATGTATTACTGAAATTTCAAAAACAATCAACCCACAAAGATTTATCCTGTTACCAAAGAAAAGAATAAAGAACTATCTCTCTAAGAATAATAATTTGAATCATGACTAAAGGCACATTAAATTGTTAATCAGTTTATTACTAACAAATCCCTTAATAATTCGTATTTCAATATGTCACTGTAATTTTTTACAGATGTGCAAAAACAGATAACAATCTTTTTTTTTAATTTTCAAAGCAACTGAAACTGTTCTACCAAACTGTCAGTGATTTCCAACATCTAAATTATAACCCCTAATTTGATTATGTTTGCACCCTAATTTTCCACAATGATAGATAGAGAACCTGACAATACCCATGATACAGTGATATTAAACAGTTACATACCATCTCCTGATACATCAATAATTTACAATTAAAAAATATATAAACATCATAAGAATGTCATAGAACATGAAAGATTATCACAATTTTCATTTATCAGTTAAATAGTTGCAACTGAAGCTCAAGATAACTTACAAACATATAAGTAATTTAAAATTTGAAGCTGAAGAATTAACAGTATGAAGAGATATGTACTTACCACCAGCACTTTTTAAAGAAAATCTGTTAGTACCATTAGCACCTGACATCATTGGTGGTGCAGAGCCATTCATACCACTACTTTTACCTATAATGTAAGAATTAAGCAATACAAATTTTATCATTATATAGAGACACAGCTTTATGGAACAACAATAACTATGTCTGCGGATGATGTGGAACACATTGAAACTTTTCATAAAAATTGTCATAAATATTCATATTTTCTGCATAAGGGAACTTTAGCGACAAGTTGAATATCTGGTGCCAATTACACCAATATTATTTATTGCATTGTATACATACTTAGGTTCAATTCTAATCTGAACAGTGTATTTGATGGATAAACTAAAGGTTGGCAGGTATAAAGACATCAATAATAAACAAATTGCATGTTATCTTACCCATTAAATCTATATCTTTAGGAGGTGGAGCTGCTGGTGTGGACGTCTCTTCTTCTCCCCCCTGATTTGTCCATTTTTTATTAACAGGATCCCACACAATCTGTAATATTATTATATAATAGTTGTTTTAAGAAGTTCAAGTTAAATTCTATACCATGCTGGTTCCTGAATCTAGATATAAAACTGAGCACAGTATTTTTAAGTTTAACATGCATGAGCACAATATCTAATGGCAACCAAAAAAATTGCAACAGATTATGACTTTGTCAAGCTAAGATTGCAATATACTTTCTAAATAGGGTTTTGATTTTGTGTTATCTCAAATATGAAAAATATTGAAAACTTATCACTAAATGGATATAAAGGTCTAAATATTTATTTAATCAGCTAAAAGATCTAAGTCAATAACATGTAAAGTTTTGGAATGAAAACTGAAAATGAAGCTAGATATAAGTATCTCGTGCAGTAAGAAATTAAAAATGAACCTTAGGATTCTTATCATCTGGTAATATAATTTCTTTATGTTTTTTCTGTTTAGGTTTATTTTTTCCCCAACCAAACATATTGAGCCATCCACCACCTTTCTCATTCTACAATATACAGAATAGGTGAATAACAAAGCTTGATGTGGTTTCTCTTTAAATCTTACCATTAAGTTTTCACAGTGAAATTTAAGCTTTGCAAACTTTGACAATCTTTCTTTCTCCTAGCACTCCTCCGAATAAGAGTATCACTATTGCTATTAAATGCAATTAGGATGGACCAATTTTGATTTGAAAGAAAGGACTTTCTTAATCTCAATCCTTTGCAACCAACCTCCAGAAATATTCAACGGTTTTGTTCACATTCTATCCACAAATACTAAACTTACATTTTTCTGCTGTTCATTTTTCTGATTTTGTTTGGTTTTAGGTTTGGGATTAGCAGCAGACAGACTACCAGTACTACTACCAGATGTGGTACGTTGTCTCGGTGGAATACCAGTAGAACTAGTAGAATCTGCACGGAATCTAGATGGTGGAGCTACAATCTGAAACATACAACCAAATAAATTAGTTACAAAAATATTGCAAGCATACGAGGCATACATATTTATTTATGGAAGAAGGTGGAACAGTCGAATGACAATTAAATACACAAACGTAAACAGCTGATAACTTTTTAAAATAATAATCAAAGTCAATATTGGTGCACAAATCAAGATGTCTCAAGAGTATTTAGCACTTGAAACCTTATAAATACCTTTTGTGATGTGGCAGCACCAAAATAATCAAATGATCCTGGAGGAGGTGCATGATTTCCTCCATCTGCTTGATCATCATCCTCTTCGTCATCATCATCATCATCATCATCTTCCTCTTTTGGTAGACTCTGTGTAGAAGATATACTATTTCTGGCTTGTTGAGGATTATAATATCCTTGCTGTTGGTTCTCACTACCAGTTGGTTGATAATATCCTAAAAAGGGTTTAATGTGCAGAGATTTGTCAAGTGAACAGAATGGTAATTTGTTTGTTATTCCTCAGGAATCTACCATCAATATCATCCTTTAAATAATCTTATGGATACATCCCCTCAGAAAAATTACCTTCATAAGCTTATCCAAAGCATGGATATACATCAAGTGAAACATTGCCACCATAACTGTAAGATAGCTTGCCAGGCAAGGTAATATACGCCCACTGATAGCTTTGTTTGAAATTGAATATTTGTTAGAAAATAGCAAACATAGACACCAGGAAATATTCAACTTATACCCAAATCCATCACAAACTGTGCCATCACAAGTTAAAAATCAAACACATTTGTAAGAATAACGGCAATAACTTGTATTTTATATTTCAAAAGGTTTAGTTTTGATTGTGATCAATTTCATCAAGTTGTCAAATTTGTTTTAGACTTCTGCTTTGTAGAATAAAAATTACGTGTTTTACAAGATTTTTGATCAGATTTATCCTTGGGTGATTTCAATAAGTCTGTCATGAATTGTGTATTTGCAGATTATATTCAAGCAAATTAGGTTGAAATATTTTTTTAGAAGTTTTATGTATCGAGTTTATGACAGGTGGGAGTTGCTAATATTTACCACCTTTTTTCTCCTGTTGAATTTAATCTTTTTATATCCTTACATTTTTTTTCTCAAAGATTTGATTAGTTTGCATGAAATGCAATGGATTTGTAAGTATACTTGATTGCAGCTGTCTTGGCTAATAAGGACAAGAAAAGAATTGAATTTTCCTATTATGACAGTCAAGAATTGTGCCTCCTAGAGTGTTTACGAGCTAAAAATTGAACGCGTTTTCAAGAACAAGGGCAATAATTCATACTACCTTTTTTTCGATTTCCCTGATTTTTCTATAGGGTTTATCCTTGGGTGAATACGAACACTCAAACCAAGTTTCGTCAAAATCTGTCAAGAATTGTGCCTTCTAGAGTGTTTACGAGCTAAAAATTGAACGCATTTGCAAGAACAAGGGCAATAATTCATACTAAATATTTTCGATTTCGCTGATTTTCAATAGGGTTTATCCTTGGGTGATTACGAACACTCATACCAAGTTTCGTTAAAATCTGTCAAGAATTATGCCTTCTAGAGTGATTACGAGCTAAAAATTGAACGTGTTTTCAAGAACAAGGGCAATAATTCATACTTAATATTTTTCGATTTCGCTGATTTGCGATAGGGTCTATCCTTGGGTGATAACGAACACTCATACCAAGTTTCGTCAAAATCTGTCAAGAATTATGCCTTCTAGAGTGTTTACGAGTTAAAAATTGAACGCGTTTGCAAGAACAAGGGCAATAATTCATACTAAATATTTTTCGATTTCGCTGATTTTCAATAAGGTTTAACCTTGGGTGATTACAAACACTCATACCAAGTTTCGTCAAAATCTGTCAAGAATTGTGCCTTCTAGAGTGTTTACGAGCTAAAAATTAACAAGGGCAATAATTCATGCTAAATATTTTTCGATTTCGCTGATTTTCAATAGGGTTTATCCTTGGGTGATTGCGAACACACATACTAAGTTTCGTTAAAATCCGTCAAGAATTGTGCCCTGTAGAGTGTTTACGAGCAATTGTGGACGGACGGACGGACCGACGTCCTCACGGACCGACGGACATGGGTGATGACAATATACGCCCCCCATTTCATGTGGGCGTATAAAAATCTACTAGCAATAAGACATACCTTGTGGTGGTTGTGTATAACCAGTATTTTGACTAGTATCAGATTGATTATTAGTAGTATCTGTGGTCTGCTGTTGGTTCTCTGTATAATAACCTTGCTGTTGAGCTGATAACAGAGATGGATATTTAGTTCCTTACATGACGAAATATCTGCATGCTCTAACAAGTCCCAACTATTGGGTTTATATGGTAGACATTTTTCATATTGTCAAAGATCAAAACCATTCCAATTCAAACTCATTAGTTAAACAATAAAACCAAAAGGTTTGAAACTTAAATAAAAACGACATGATTCCAGGAAATATATTAACAAAAAATAAGAATGGAGAGAAAAAATAAACATGGGATACAAAACTTCATGCTATTTCAAAATGGTGAAAACACATATTTAAGTTATCTAATATAGGATAATCATGCTTTTGAGAAAACCAACCCAGTTGAATCAGCCAAATGTAGTATGTAGTGATACAATACAGAAAAAGTGAACTCACAAAAATGAGACATGCTATTACCAATTAGTCGAATAGGAAGGCTGCATCAATGGCCAAGCTAGAAATTTTCATGTAGGATTTAACATTTACAAAGAATAGAAATCAAAGTAAAAATAAAACCTGGGAAATAAGGCGATAATTACTACACGACACCATGCTGAATAGCTTAAAGTATATATACCATAGTTATAGGGCTTACTGTATTGATTCCACTCAGCATTGTAAGCTTGTAGCTGATGTAGATAGTCAGTTGTCTGTCCTTCTGTCTGTTGGTCTGTTGTTTCTGATGTCACATTATTACTCCCTGTCTGTTGGTATTGATTCTGATAGTAACCTTGACCTTGGTCATACTGGCCTTGACCTTGATTGTACTGATTCTGACTTTGGTCATATTGTTGATTAGAGTCAGTATAAGTACAGTCTTGTTGATAGTTCTGGTACTGGTTAGTATTATAAGTATTACTGGTATATTCTGCCACTTCACCACTATCACTGCTAGTTGTGGTGCCAGGATAACCAGCTGGTGTAGCAGTACCTGATATAGGTTGTATACTTCCATCCTATAAGACAATGAGAAAGTGAGTCAAATTGGTGTTTCACTTCAAACTATAAGACATGCTAAATTCAGTGATTGTGCTATTTTTGACATCTAAGATTTACTGTAGAATTGGAAAGACATAGAAGAGGACTATTGATGCTGTAGCCTACTGTTACATTAGCAGACAAAATTCAAATATTTCAGAGATAGCTGCCCTTTTTATTCCATTTCCATTTCCATGTTAAGTTCCATCAAAATGTTACAGAATATGTAACAGACTTTACATAAACTTCCATGCAAGGGTTAACAGCAAGATATGCAAAAGACAACATCAAAAATATAACATTTAATGCTTACATCATAACCATGACAAACGACAGATAAATGTTGTAACCAGATAGCATCCTCAGCATCATCACCTTCATGTTGTCTAGCTGGATCATGATATTTTAGTCTATTAGACAACTAAAATAAAATAGATTGAAATTAAAATGAAATTTTCTATTCCATAAAATTTTCTTGAACTACCATTGACAGTTTCATATCAAACAGTGCTGTTGATTTGGCTCTACTTTACAGGTATTACTGGCAGGAAGGCTGTAATGTCTGAGAATCAATATCCTCTGTCAGACATCTGTTTCTCACATAGAGAAAAGATATTTTATACTAACACTTTATAACCATTACATGAAATAATGGTTTTTGCATGCCAATCTTTCATTCTGTACAAAAAGTCAACATCAGAAAGCAGAGGAACAGATTTTTCAGTATAACGAAATGATAACTAACAAAAAAAAAGCTCATTACCTCATATAATGATTTAACAAATGAAGGTTGATAGTAAACTGGTGACCGCTGTATATTTTGACTAATAACTTCACAATAACGTAATGTCTCTTCTGATAAACCATATTCAGCAAGTCGACATGCATAGATAAACTTAAATACCTACAGTATACATATTAACCATTGTACAGATTAGCTTAGGATTAGCAAACTATATTCATCAGCAGCAAATGATACTTCATAGGATAAAAATAGTTTCACAGTTATTAGACACAATTCTTGATAACACCAGAAACTTTCATGACATGAAATTTATGCTTATTATATAACATACAGAATATAAGTTTATTTACTGTACAAACTAAAGCAGCCACAAAGTTCAAATACAGAATATGGGAATCTGAAGGGGCACAGTTTAGTTCTTAGATGTTCACAGTAGCCTCAGCTTTTCAACCTTGTTTTCACGTCAGCCCTTTTGGTTCAAATGAAACAATAAACCATGAATCATGTACTATATGTGTGCATGTTAAAGATATCTCTGACACAGAATATTAAAACAGTATGCTAACGCTTCTGTATTGTCAGCAGCCTCTCTTTAGTAGATGCATCAGTGAAGTAGAATGTAAAACTCCATTTCATTAGAAGAGTTCACAAGCGTATCAATGTATTTAATATTTAATTTATTTACCTGTAGGTGTGGTAAGACAAATGAAGTATTTCCTAATGACATAGCATACTCATAGATCTCTGTACATTGTATAGCCTCATTAGTAGCAAACTCATCTAGTGATAAACTGTAAAATAATTAATCATTAACATTATTCATGCATTTTTACTAAAACAACTATTAGATTAGATGATGTGATGTTAATTGTGCCATTTGCTTTACTATTCGGCATGGCTGAAATTGGCTTTTTTAAATATCAATTTGTAGACAACACAGCATTCTAGATTGCACATAATTTTCAGAGAGAAAATAATAGAATTAGGAATTAAATACTTACTTATGACTTGAGCCTATTAAAACTATTTTAGATGTTTTCTTTGTAAAAACACCAAAATTGACTTGAGCCATTAAATAACAGAAATGACTGGCATGTAGACATCCTTTAGCAGCTACAAATACATATATATCATTGTTTAATTACATAGTTATAATATGATTAAAATAACACAAAAACATTTACAAGATGTATCCCAACATTGATTTGACGGAAGTCATAAAACTGTATAAGGCCATATTACAATGTCACGACAGTCTATACATCAGTATTTTAATCTATACCAATAATCAATAATACATACATACCCAATGTATCTCCTAATGTAGTAATAGATTTTCTATCAATATCTGATTTAGAAGTATGATTTGATAAGATCATAGCTAAATGTGGTCTCCAATCTCCCCATCTTTCATCAGACATACACTAAATATATATAGTATATCATAATGTAGACTTTATTAATATTACATAATTCTTAATTCTAAAATTTTATCTTTTATAATTTGTATGCTAAATTGATTAAGGAAATCAAATTAAAATACAAATTTAGCTCAACATATCTTCACATACCAGGGAATTTTCAAGTTCAGATAATTCTTACCATACATTGACTAACAGAAACACTCAATGGACCACAGATTACAGCAACACATTCTACATATTTAGAAAAGTGGGGCTGAAAATAAAACTTAAAAGATAGTTTAGAAATCTACTTACAGTGACTGCGGCAGGTTGTCTCCCTGACATCAATTGATATAAACTTTGTAATGGATCATTCATTTTCATAGCACTATTAGCAAATTTAGTCATCACATTAGCATGTGTTCTTGTATCCATTTTACTAGCTAGAAACAATGCATGTCCCCATATACTATTCTTCATAGCCCACTCTAAGGCATCCTGTAATATATTGACAGTTATCTGATAAGGTACTGGTACCTATAAATAAAAGTATGAAAGTATGGTGCCATAGTAAGGTTCAATTAAAGATTTCATTTGAAGATTTCCTGAATTCTTACCTTTTTACGACCATATAACAATAGATGTCTAAATCTATCTATTAAGTCATCTCTAGTTTTATTATTTATAGTAGTTTTATCTACGGTAGTTTTAAGATCGGTATCTTCAGCCAGTTGGATGTTCTCTAAACTACTAGCTATCTTCATACCACCCATACTATACTCTTTAGTAGTTGGTTCATGACCTTCTAATAATAAATCAGCTATATCGGTACCTATCACAGTCTATAATAAATAAGATTAAATTATAATCAGGAATAACATGAAATATCAAAACAAAATAACATAGGCCAAATCATAAAGATAGCTTGCCAGGCAAGGTAACATATGTCCATTGGCAGCCGTCAGAAATGATAAATCAGTCTTTGGTGACTAAAATATGAATTTTCTCATATTAAAGTTTGAATTCAATGATATATATATTTACTGTCAGTTATTTATGCTGAAAAATACCACAAAATTTTTGAAAATCAATATCAATAATCCAAATACATCAAATTATCCATCAATATACATGATCACACCATGTTTCATCAAAATCAATTGAAAATTGTAGTCTCTTATGTCACATAAGTTATGTGTTCACAAACAAATTTTGACCCGTTTTCAAGGGCAATAGTCAAGGACAATAACTCAAAGACTGTTCATTGAAATATCAAATTCAAACTTGTTCAAGATCTCATCAATATAAATGATCACAACAAATTTCATTAAAATCAGTTGAAAACTGTAGTCTCTATTGTGTTCACAAACAAATTTTGAAGTGTTTTTTCCTAATTCAAGGGCAATAACTCTAAACCGTTCATCGAAAGATCGTCAAATTCAACCTTGACCAAGATCTCATCAATATAAATGATCACACCAAATTTCATTAAAATCAGTTGAAAACTGTAGTCTCTATTGTGTTCACAAACAAATTTTGACCCGTGTTTCCTAAGTAAAGGGCAATAAGTCAAAAACAGTTCATCGAAAAATCATCAAATTCGAACTTGTCCAAGATCTCATCTATATAAATCATCACACCAAATTTCATTAAAATCAGTTGAAAACTGTATTCTCTATTGTGTTCACAAGAAATGTTGACGGACCGACAGGGGCAACTACAACATATGCCCATAGTTACGTGGGCGTATAAAAAGCTTATCATTGAAATATAGATCTCCCAACTGGTAAAGCAAATATTTAGATGAATTTATCTCTGTATGTTCATATATCATATATTTCAACATGCTCATTTAAGTCTTTACATAGCTTAAGTGGTGATTATCAGAAGAGACCAAGTTTGAGGTAATTGAACTTATAAAACCTAGTAATAACTGGAAACAAAGGAACAATATTTGTTCTCCACAGAAAATTTGAAGATAATCCACAGCACATAGAGAGGAAGAAGAAATATCAATTATACAGAAAGTAGACAATATATCATCTTCATGATAATAACAGATAGGAAGTGGTTACTTACTCCATTTTGTTTTATCAACAATTCTAGAAGTTTCCAGATTAATTCTGCTGATTCTCTGTCCATCATATTGATTTCTTCAGCACATTTCTTAGCTTTTCTTTGGCAAAATAACAATATATCATTCTTATGAGTGTCACCTCTGGAAAAAAACAGAAACATTTAATTCAACAGGAAGATTGTAAAAGCTTTACAGTTTCTGTCTGAAGTCCATAACACCACAAAAATAAACACTTTAAAAGATAAGCACTGATACAGCAGTAGGAACAAAAACCATTTAATCACAAACCTTATTAAAGGTCCAGGGAATTCTTTAACCTCTTCAGCACCAGTAGTATCAGCTAATACAGACTCTACTTCCTGTACTTCTACTACAGCTGGTTGACCATCAGCTGGTCTATTAGGTAGAACTTTTATTAACTGACCATTAGGTCCAAAACATGCTTTCATATGTGGTATAGAATACTTGGGTGGTGTAAGTCTTGAATATGATGTATCTACAAAGATATCTATAGTGTAATAGGTCCTCTAAATAAAACAATACTAATTCCAAACCAAGTACTATTCATAGCATTGGTTTCTAACAGTTCTCGTATAGATATACACTCAACTCAAATTGTTGTCTGCCAGGTGATTAAATGTTGTGAATTAGTAAATATACAAACCGGTATAGACTTACCGTGATAGTTGGCATAAGGATCATAAGCATAACCTTGATAATAAGGATCATAACCATAATGATCATAATATTGACTATATCTTGGATCATAATGATCCTGTTTATAAGATGATTCGCCATAATCTTGTCTACTACTAGGTCTTGATAACCGTCCTTGACTATCATAACTACAATCAAAATAACGGTAAATTGATAATTTAGGCAGAAATTTAGTTTTGGTAAGCTTTGAAAATTCATAGTACCAAACTCAAGAAATAATCTTGTTACTTGCCATACAATGCAGAATATAATGTATGTGTTCCATATGTTGTCACATAGCGCACAAGTTGCATACATATCATATTGAAATATCAAATCATTTCCAAAGAGCTCATGCAGCACAGAAGAATTTCCATATATCCAAAAAAAAGTAATTTTGCAAATTTTAAATTTGATTAATATATGTAATCAGGATTTTAAAAAGAATATATATATATATATATAATATCTAAAAAAAAGTTATAACCAAAATTTTACTATAATAAATTATGATTACAATAAGTAAGGTAGATTGGTTAATACAACAAGTTAATATATCACGTGTTAATCTAGTTAAATGATGAAATAATATTAAATAATATACAGCCTCCAGATATAAACACAATATCAATCATTTAAACATGACATATATCATCACAGCTAAAATATTACTTTTATTTGAATCTGAAGCTATTAATTTCACTGTAAAAACCTGAATAAATTCATAACTTCTGTCAGAAATTTGTCATTGTAAAACTCTTTTGTTAACAATAATTCTGTGTCAACCTGTTGATTTGAATAGTAATATTTATCATTTTGGTGAATTCTTTTACAAAACAGAATCTTAAAATCTGTGCAAAACTCATTTAAAAAAAACAAAATAAAAATGCAAAGCAAACAAAGCAAACGATGAAATGAAAAGCATGCTTTAGAAATTACCTTGGTTCAGTTTCATCTAAGGCTGGAGTTTGAGCTCGAGGAGAGTTAGAAACATGACTATAGTTATCTCCTACTGTGTATTGACTGCGATAATAATCATTGTACCTGTAAATGTTTTTATTATAATAGCTCTTCTAACATGCTTTTAGTATGGTAATTATTCTTAAATTGTCAAAATTAGAATTTCAGAGATATATAATTGAATTAAATTTTGACTATTTAAATCATATTACCATAAAATCTTCAACTATTCAAGAAACATTTTTTTAAATTTCCAAAGCATGACATAAGAAATAAATTATAAGGAAGATAAGACTGAAGGACAAAGTCAAAAAAAACTTTTAAAAAAAAATTGTATGGTTAAGAAGCCATGTTCTACACTATTAAGCATGAGACAAACCCCAAATTGTTTAATGTCCATTTTAAAATCACACAAAAACACCTCATCACACATAAACACAATACAATACACAGCTTTGAAAACAGCTGATTTCTAATTGATCAAAATGGTAATTACTCAGGTAAATACTCCTTTTTTTCATAGTCAAAATTTGAATTAACATGAAATTGAAGATTAAAATGATGTAATTTATTTGTTAGCTCTTGATTATTATACAGAATTACACTTAGAATATCTAATACCACAATATCTGGTCATTGAAACTGTAGACATGATTTTTGAAAACAGGAAGAATTTCTACATTGTTCTTTAGTAATAATACATTGTCATTCAATCCTTTTTTGATTCTTCACTTATTATCAAAATAATATCAAAAAGGTACAAGTTGAATCTAATGACCAGATATAGAAATAGTTGTAAAGTTAGAAGTAACATGCATTAAATGCTTATCTAGTACCAAGTCCCAAGAAATATAGTAAAACTCACCGAGCGCCATAGCCTTGATTACCATAATATTCATCATAATAAGCTTGTGTATATAAATAATCATCATAACTATATCTATCATCATGCCTTCTTCGGGCATCATATTGATAACCTGTTCATAAAGTATACAGTAGTTTATATATCTATCATACACACTTTTGAAGAATTTTTTTTTAATTTATGGATGCACAGTTAATCTGTGAAAAACAAAAAATACATCCTGATAAATCTTTTTTTTCTTAAATATTAGCAGCATCAATAAAACTTTGAAACAAGTCAGTTAGAAATTTGAAATAATAATTTACCCCTATATCTGTCTCTATAATAATCTCTGGAATCTCTATCATAATCAGTTCTAGATCTCTGGTGATCTGTTTCACTTATTTCTCTCTCTTGAGCTGAAAATATGATCAGATTTTTTATTCATAACAATAACAATCAAATAATATGGTAAAAGAAAATTCTGTCTAAAACACTAATTTAATGTTGTTTAAAGATGACTGACAGAATTGAATTTAATCTTGTTCTTTTCTTCAAGCAAGAATATCTTATTGACAAGGGCTGATCACATGCTGTGACACATGACACATGTTTCAGATACATAATCTTGAACAGGACAGCTGGTTTTGGAAATGGGACTCAATTGTGTTCAAAATTCAAATTGTTTTATCATCATATTAAACTTATGACAAATGTAGTTAAAGATTCCTTCAAGGAAATTCTAAAGGAACAAATTTAATATTATATACTTACACTCAGTATTTCTGGATCTAGGTCTATCATATTTTTCATTACCATAATAATCTTTATCAGCATAGGATCTATAATAGGGATCATCCCTATATCTTGCTCTATAATCTTCTCTGTAGTCACTTCTACTCATGGGTCTGTCTCTTTCATCATAGTATGAGTGTCTACCTGCATATTTCTCTCGATACCTACGCTCCCTATAAGCATCCAACTTAGAGTTGACTTCATCCAATGAATCCAAAGATCTATTGTCATCATCCTTCTTCCAACTGCCAAGCCTTCTATCTCTATATCTACTTCTAGAATTATCTGAATATCCTTCACTGTCACTGCCTTTGCCCTCACCATCTCTTTTCTTAGACTCTCTGGCTGACGATCTAACAGGGGAAGATGATCTGCTTTTAGATACTGGTGAAGCTTCAGTTACTGATGGTGCAGCTGGAGCCAGTATAACACCTGTTATTTTGGGTGGAGAGTAATCATCCCATAAGGATGTAGCTGGGGACATGTTGTGTTTGGCACGATGTACAGGTTTGAAAGCAGAGTTATGTTTCCTTGGTGAATTCTGTGGAGTATCTTTTGGGATTGGCGGCTTTGAAGAATCTTTACTTGAGCCAATATCTTCCCTTTTTTGGTCCCCAGGAACTGACTGGCCTTTAGCAGGGCTTTTTAATGTCTTGTCACTTTTTGGCTCTTCTGCTTTATTTTCTGTTTTGGTGCTTTCTTGCCCTGAAAAGGGGATTTTAGAGACAGACTGTTCTTGGAGATCATCCTCATTTGTATCTTTGGTTGAATCTTGGCTGAGAATCAAAGGATGAAATATGGGTGTTGGAATCAATGGACTATTTCTCTTTTCTGCATCAGGTTTAGTAGGTTGAGGACTGGGTTTACGGAAAGGGTTTGAAGCAGCTGGCGATGTCTCGAGGGTCTTTGGTGGCGCCTTTGGGGGAGAGAAATCAGAAGTCTGTGGGTTGGTAAAAGATGTTCCAAGGGATGATGGTTCTGATGTTGTAAAACTGCTACTTGAAGGATTCACACTTGAGGAAAAAGCAGAATTACTTGTCTCTGTGTTAAAGGATGCAGAAATGTTTACATTAAAAGGGTCTATTGGTACTGTTGAATGTTGTGTCTCATTACCTCCACTTAAAGAAGCTATTGAGGTTACAACATAAGATTCAGACTTATTTTCAGTATGATGTATGTCAGAAAATGGTTGAGGGCTAGGTTGACTAGTTAATATATTAGAACTATTCTCTAAGGAACTTTGTCGACTGTGTTGGGATGATGATGAAGGAATTGAGTTCACAAATTCCCAGTCATTGAGTGGGCTCTGTTGATCTTCCTCTAATTTGACATCCTCAACAGATGTTTGGTCTGGCACAACAGTTTGGGAAGGCTGATTAGAAGTCACTTCTGGTAAAGGCTCCAATGATACATTTTGCAATTGTCCAGACATTTGTTGTAAGATCTGATCTTGGTCTAAACTTGTGTTCGCAGAACCTTCGGTACATAAACTAGCATTACTAATAGCAGAATCAGTCCTATGAATAATGTTATTAGTATTTAAAAACTGATTGGCAGTCACATTAGTAGACTGAAATGGGACATTAGTACTATTTGATAGATCACTATTATTAAAATTATTATAAGCACTGTTCCTGTTTTCTTCTTCAAAACTGTTATTGTCAACATGTTCACTTCCTTGTCCAGTATTACCAGTACTGTTTGGTGACACTGTTTGTGGTGGAAAGTTTGAGGGTTGAAAAGAATCACCTAAATAAGAATTATACTGATCAGGATGTGGATTCTGTTGTTGATCACCTGACTGTTCTAATCCTACACTCATCTGTGTTGTATTTTGTTGATACTGATGATCATTGTATAAGTTATGCTGTGATGTCTGTATCATGTTTTGGTTTTGGGGGTATCCTTGCCATTGATTCTTGGAAGTATACTGGCTATATTGTTGATCAGTTTGTTGTTGGTGTTGATACTGCTGATGATGATGATTCTGTTGTTGGCCATCATCAGTTTGGAAATTCTGTCCATGCTGTATCTGTTGTTGTGTATTAGGATCCCAATAGCTTTGGCTGTAGTCCTGTTGAGCTTGTGAGGTATGAACTGCACTAGCTTCTCCTCGGCTATGTGCACTGTAGGACTGATTTCCTGTTACACTGTTCCCTTCTCCCCATGATCCCCAGCTTGTCCAAGAATTATTTTGAACTTGTTGATTTTGTGTTGAATCAGGAAAGGTTTGAGCAGTAGAATAAGGCTCATATGCTGATGTTTGTGGAGAAGCTGCAGAATGTTGAGAATAATTCTGCTGATTAACATTTGAAGCTTGACTTGTTCCAGCAAACTGTGATGGATCAAACATTTTCACACCACCAGCTATTGGTTGTGAATTGTGTATTTGCCATTGTGATTGTTGACTCATTCTGAAACAAAAAATTGATTTGTCACAAAATGTTATAATAATTAGATCTAATGCAAAATAATCATACTAAATATTCTTACAACTAAAATTCTACAAGCTGATAAAAAAGAGTGATGGCTGTTTAAGTACGGTACCATCCCAGTAGGTGATCAGTATGCTCACACTTTACAGACAGATCTTTAGCCAACCAGGGTTTTTTACATCCATGTGTAGGCCTATCAACTATTCAGTCCATGGTATTGGATTTTCTTTAAAATTAAGTCGTCTTCACATGGTGCAGAAAAGTAGGACATAGAACTCCATTCATTTCGTTTCATTTAAAAATTAAGACAGGAAATACTGCCGAGGAAGATGAAGTAAAATAAATTGGGCAAATTCAAACATCAAATGTAGTTCAAGAGTTCAAGTATGGTACCAATAACTGAACCAAAGAAATAGTTAATTGATCATCTAATGAATTATAAATTTAGGAGAAACCAGTTGTTCTATTTGGATAGATGCAGATGAACGTGTTCTGGGAATAGTCACTTTGACTTAGTCAGTAAATCAAAACACTGACAATATTGCAGTGCAAATTGTAAACAAACAGACGTCCACCCACTTCTTTTCCCTGAAAAGCAAGATAAGAAATCTGTTCTTATTCATATTTTCCAAACCATAACATCCACAGATTCATCGGGCAGTAATACTTACTTCTTTAACTTAGCCAATTCATGTAAATATTGTTAATTTTTTACACGGAAGCCATGGTCTTGAAATGATTACGTGTGACATTAAATGTGCGAAACTGCGCATTTATGCGTTATGAAAAAGTCCAAATTTTGACTAATGCAATTTTATTTGACAGTATGATTTTGATAAATATTTAAAGACTTTTAAATCTATTCTTTAAAGATTTTAAGGTTTCATAGTCTAAATACGAAAATTTACCTGCCAACTCTTTACTTCCTTCCAATGTAGACATGCGCAAGTCATAGCCACGTCATTTTTGTCTGTTTTACGTATAAATTTGTCAAAAAAGTTGTTTTATTCTTAACATAAAGGGTTCTTCGTGATCCCTTTCATAGATATTCAAAAATGGTTCTGTTAACGATGATTTCCCGGGTTGCTGATGGGCTTGCACTGGCAGCTTCTGTACAAGAGGATGAACAAGTATGTAACTATTTGGTCATAAAGGGGGGGGGGGGGGGGGGGAAGCTGTTTCTTTGTGGTTAACTAGTGCAGCAGTTGGAGAGTCTCATCATGTTGCCTTTGGTTTGGCCGTTGCTTGATATTTGGACAGATTTGGAAATATTGATTGATACGGTACTATGAAAAGGAGAATTTTCAGTAAGCTTATACAAGCTATGTCCCAATCAATTCATTTATACATTTATACTTGTGCAAGAATTATCAAGAATTCTACCTTGTGAACAGTTCTTTATCACAATTAATACTCTATTCATAAAAGATGATCGTACTGATTTTTTAATCAATTGAAGAATAGAACAAAATAGAAACTTGTCAGTCAAGATTTACATACTAGTACTAGTAAAAAATAATCTAGTTTAGAAGCATATATTGAAACATTTTAAGCACAATAAAAGGATATCACTATTGATATAAGGAAGTGTTTTTTGGTTTAGTATTCTCATTTTACCAGTGATTTATTTTATTAAATACAGGCTGGTAGAAGCTTAATGGAATATCAAACACAAGCTAAACAGTTATTTCGTAAATTGTCTCAAGATCCTCAACCTCCTACCAGATGTAGTTTAGAAAGTGGTCCTTATATATTTCAGTAAGTAATTTCATGGAAAAGCTTTTATATAAATTGTTAATTAATTATTCCTATACCTATCAAATCATATGTGTATATGTGTAGATTAACTTTTGAGGTCATGAGAATTGTCATAAATTAATATATAAGATAGCACTGTATGTCTATGCTTAAGTGTGATTAATTTGTATAGAAAATTTAAGCCTTATTTGTATTTTACATTTTTCAGTTATCTGATAGAAAGAGGTGTGTGTTTTCTATGTCTGTGTGATAAGAATTTCTCAAAGAGACTAGCCTATACATTTTTAGAAGATTTACAAGTAGAATTTATGAATCAATATAGTTCTAAAGTAGAAACTGTATCAAGGCCCTACAGTTTTATTGAATTTGGTAGGTGTAATTAATTATATTTAAGAGACTTTGAAATGGTACTGATGTCACTGTCAGCTGCAATTAAACTGAATAAAAACCTTATTTCGTGGCATGTTATAATCAGATCAATTGGTAATGTTTTTATTGACTTTCTATTTGAAATTGTAACTTATCTGAGTACATTTAGGTTATTTAAAAGTTTGATTTTGGACTTGTTACTTAACTTAAACTTGCTAACTTAAACATATCATTTACTAATTTTTTATTCTTTCAGATACATATATACAGAAAACCAGAAAATCTTATATGGATTCCAGAGCTAGAAGAAATTTAACCAATATCAATACTGAATTACATGATGTACAGAGAATAATGGTACAAAATATAGATGATGTTTTACAGCGTGGAGAAACTCTATCAGGTACTCATTCACTTTGCAAAGCAATAAATCATTATAGATCAACAGTTTCTAAGGTCAAAGCAATCTTTTGATCTTCTGAATGGACTAGATAATGAAGCTTCATGAGTTTTATAAGAGAAGTAATAGAATCTTCATAGGTTTTTAAGAGCAGCTATGCTTGTGTTGCTTTTAATTCGAAAGAGAACAAAATTGTATGGGTTGTTTATGGAGGGTCATCTTGTCTTTTGATATTCTGTGTTAACACAATAGGTACATATAAATATATTACGTACATTACATAATTGCTAACATGATTTATTTTTTATTTCAGCCCTAGATTCAAAAGCCAGTAATTTATCCAGCTTGTCTCAGAAATATAAAAAAGATGCCAAATATTTGAATTTACGGTCGACCTATGCTAAAATAGGAGCCATAGTTATTGTTATTATTGTTTTCTTGTTATTTATTCGTTATTGGATATTGTGAATCCAGTTCTTTTTTTATCTTTTCCAAACAGGGGAGTGTTCTAATGGAGAATCTTTCATTAGAATCAACGTCTATTCTTCCATGAGACTTACACAATTTCTATCACATTTTGTGCAATTCTAATAATAAAAGTGTTCTATAATATCATGTTAAATATTGGTTTCAATCAGTTCAGTCTTATTTTGCATTGACAAAAAATATTGTCCATGTCTAAAAACATTCAATTGACAAAGCTCAAAGTCTTACAAAAAGCACATGAATGAATGTGTGTTAAGAGTGAATGGTAAATTTTCATTAATGTTGTGTTGTCTAAGATTGTATCTAGTCTTATTGTATTGCTGGGTTACGTAATGGTAAACTCTTTATGCCAAATAGCCAAGATTATAATAATATGTGTATGCTGCAGAATAAATAGGTTGTACAAGTAGTCTAATAAAATTGTAATAACGTGAACATCTGGATGAGAGTTTCTAGAATAATTTGTAAATAAACATTGTTATGTTATTGTAATCTGTTATCATTATGTAAATTATTCATTGAAAATTCTTATCTTGTAAATAATAACATAAAAATAAATGCATTTTAAACTCTTAGTTGTGAGCATTTAATTTAAGGAATACTGCCTCTTAGATTGGACATAAGATTTAAAACTTGATCAGTAAGTGTATAAGAGAATATATTCATCATTATTATATAATACATATTTAATACAACAGATATAGTTTTTCACATAAAAATATTTATCTCTATTGGTTATGAGAGTGACACTTTAGAAGGTTCAGTGATCTGGACTCATTTAAATTTTAATCTGTGAGTTGTGTTGATCACATTTAAAATAACTTGCAAGATAAAACACTTGATCTGTTTATTAAGCCAAAGATTAATCCTTGTTCAGGGCAGTCCATTTCTGTGGCTTAATAGACAGTTTTTATAAACTTTACTGAATGAAGAAAAGTTATTACTTCCCTTGGCCCAATAGTAATCAACTGCACCTACTTATTACCACTAACATGCTATAAGCTGTCTTTATTAGGTGGAAACCTGACCAAAAAGAAAGAATATGTTCATCCTGTTGGTAAAACAAAGGTATATTATTAATTTGAATTATTCGGATGTGATTCTCATGTGCTTTGTTCATTTCATTTTATTTATCATCCATTTCCCACTGTACATAGACAATTTGAAATATTATGAGTAAGATCTACATTTAAAACAACTTATTTTGATTTGTATGTTTTATTTCAATTCATTCGGGCAAACTATTTACAAAATGATAAATAAGCCACAAATTTAGCTTGATCTTGTAAGGCACACACTTGTTGAAGAGTGTATTTACAATGACATATTTACAGTTATATCTCAATAACACATCCAAATTATCAAACAAATTACCAAATATTTGTCAATTTTGTAAATGTGGAAACAAATGATTTTTTAGGTTTTCATGTCCCATGTAATCAAAAGGTACATTAAGAATCCATTCACCTTCCAGAATGTGAGACTAAATTCCCTATATTGAACATATTTTGGCAACTCTGTAATATACAATATTATTGATATTATGAATAGAAAGTGACTATTATTCAATAATATCACAGATTATTGAACCGGGGCATTATTAAATAATACTTCATTATTATAATTATTGATAGTGTTAGCAACATTCAATCATGACAAAATAGCATGTTTATCAAACAAAGTATGCATACCTATCACTATAATTTAAAGACAATTTTTAAAGAGAAATACATTTGCTACATCTCTTTCAGTGTATGTACAATCAAATTTGCTCTTTCATTATTTTTTTGCACAATATTTGACATACTGAAATTGGAAAAGAATAGGAAAGATATTTAATTTTTGTTTAGTGTACTATAGTTGTAGTCACAGTATTCTGATACAAATTATGATTATGATGATTAACAATGCTATGAATATTATACAAATAATATATACACATTAGGTGCTTATATACAAGTCTACATATATGAAATGAGGTCTGAAATTTCAGCCCAAGCCAAACATTTTTACTTATATTTATAAATATTATACATCCTAAAATTATAAATTAATATTATTATATATTTATATTTATGCAAAGATTTTTGGTGCTTATAAATATGAAGTAAGAAATTGATATGCACACCAATTTAAAGTTCTAATTACAATTATTCCTTCATTTCTAAGATCCAAATTTTAAGAATTGGATAATTATGGAAATAGATTTCCCCTGATAACAATAATTTACAAATAGTGTCATTAATATTTACAAAGATAAATACAATAATATACACCAAAATAAATATATTTATACAAATTATACTTTTTTATTATCAAAACCTAAACCTAAATTAACAAATTTTGACCAAATTAGGGAAAATTTCAATTTCAAGTTTTACCAAACATGTATATTTTTTTATAAAGCTTTTTTTTACTATTGATTTTTATAATAGTTGGCAAATCAAACATTTTCCACCAAAGAAAAAATCAAAATTTAATGGTATGATAACCAAATACTATATTATGCCTATTAAGAGACATGAATGGAAGTTTTAGAAAGCTCTTGGCCTATGTTATATGATTGACTAGATATTATTTTATATTTTTATGCTACAATAAGTAAAATAAATGGAAAGGTAAACATATTAAATGTTAACCTAAAGTAATAGGTGTGTAAATCTATCACTAATTTTTTATATTTCATGAAATATGAAAAGCATTTCATTTACAATGTATAATTTTCTACAATAACAAAAAAATTCACTCTTGAAATAGTCCTCAATACATCAGTTGTAGAGCAATATAGAAATATTCATCTTTTGTAGAATTAAGTCTTTGAATGGCATTTAGCAATTGTGAGTATGATATATAGACACAGCTTTATGGAACAACAATCACTGGTTAGGATTTATCAAATGTTTCCAAGTGTTTCATGTCGAAACTTTGCATAAAACTTTAACCAGTAATTGTTGTTCCATAAAGCTGTGTCTACATATTCCAGAAACACATAATGTTAATTTTACAATACTTTAAGACTCATTATGCAAGAGAACCTAAAATAGGTTTGCTGACAAAATACACAAGGTATACACAAAAGGAAAGATAATACATGTGATTATAATTTGGCTATAAAATGTGTTATTAAAGAACTTGAACTATGCCAGTAAAAAAATCATTATAAGCTGTTATTCAAAGACACGATGCAATCATTAAACCCACTATACTATAAGCTGGAAAGTATACATTTACTACATTATTATTCTTATCATTATTATATGCATTATTATTATCATTATATTCACCCGTATATAATTATCGCTTATTGGAATATAAATCCAAATGAATTTATTCAGTTCATTGCAGACTTGTTATTCATTTTTTGTATTAATCAATTGTATTATAATTTTTTTCTAAAGCTGTATTAACCTTTAATACTATATAATAATTTTACATAGAAAACATATCTTGTTGTAAATTTAGACTTATTGACACATTTTCATCTATTCTGAATGAAAAGCAATTTATTTGCAAAAATTGCTTAGAATACCTTTTGTGACACAATACATAATAACAGTTACTTTGGTACTTCCATACTCTTGAAAGCTTGTTTAAGCTAGAAAACGCAATATATATTATTTCACTAGTTTGCTTTCTTTTCCAAATTTTGAAGGATAGTGTTTGGGGGCATTGCAATTAAAATTTCTCAACTTCCACTGTTAAAGAAATAGTCATAATATAATTATTCTGTCTATGATTTGTTAATAGATTATCCACACATCACATTATATTAGGTAGATCTTTTAGGAATCACTGATTAAAATGTACCTTAATAATCAGTACGTCTAATTAGTCTGCACCTCTATCATTATCATTTCATTTCCATTGGTCTTTGTTAAATCTCTTGTCACTTCTAGTTAGAAATCATGTCATTGGTCATAGGTTGGCATTTATTCTCACTCAGACCAACCATATCAACCTCGTCTTGCCATAGGTCTGGCATTCTGCAGGAATCAGAACTTGTATATCTGACACACTATCTCAGTGGTACATAAATACACTTCATTATTTGGTTGATCCATTCATTATTTCATTACTTGCTCAGAAATATTCAGAATAAATGTTAGGGTCTACATAATCTGGTCTAGGAATTCTAAAACGATCAGTGCCACTGCTTAATTTTTCTAAGCTGAAAAATATTAAAATTTTAAATTAATTTAGTTCAATATAAGGCAATGGGATACCTCAGTGTTGAATTGTTAAAAAAAGGCTCCACTGTACATGCATTGTTCATTTTCTCAGTGGGACAAAGTGGTCTAAAACTTTTCTTCACCAGCTAATGGAGCTCAATTTCAATTAAAGAGTGAAAGTTGCAACATTCGGTATAGAATGAAATGATTAAACTACCTCTCTAAAAATGAGGGATTTTTAAAAACTGGTTCTGGAATGTTAGATGGATGGGGCGATGGAGTAAATATTTCTGGTAATTCCACAATGCCTTCAGAATCATTCCTGAAAGTAAATACAATTAATAGTAAACATTTTGGTCATTGATAACACAAAGAATGATTTAAGACCATAATGAATGAATCTTAATTGTTAAACTTAAATTGTCCATGAAATAAATCTGCCAACAAAGAAAAATCTAGCAATTAAGATCATAATTTACTTATATTTGGAAAAACTTATTTATTTATTTATTCTTTTTCTTGATTTTCCTTTTTGAATAATATTTTGTGATTTTTTATACTCTCCATAATATAAATTTAAGGGTTCATTTTAATTAATAACAAGAAAAAAACATCAACTTACTCTTCAACAGGTTTTCTATAAGTATGTTTTTTACAGACTTGTTTTATGACTAGGAATACTATTATTACTACAATAACCAATCCACCTGCAGTACTAATAGCTATATAGACCCATGGTAATTCATCTTTTGTTGGTACAGCTAAAAACAGGAATAAGACATCAAAGATTAAGATTGGACAATATTTCCTTGTATTTTCCAGAATAAAAATATGATATACAACTGTATGATATACAACTGTATGATACACAACTGTATGGTACACAACTGTATGATATACAACTGTATGATACACAACTGTATGGTACACAACTGTATGATATACAACTGTATGATATACAACTGTATGATATACAACTGTATGATATACAACTGTATGATACACAACTGTATGATACACAACTGTATGATACACAACTGTATGATATACAACTGTATGGTACAAAACTGTATGATATACAACTGTATGATATACAACTGTATGATATACAACTGTATGATACACAACTGTATGGTACACAACTGTATGGTACACAACTGTATGGTACACAACTGTAAGATATACAACTGTATGATACACAACTGTATGATATACAACTGTATGATACACAACTGTATGATATACAACTGTATGATATACAACTGTATGATATACAACTGTATGATATACAACTGTATGATATACAACTGTATGGTACACAACTGTGTGATATACAACTGTATAAAAAGAAAATAAATGCTTAGTCACACCATTTTTTATGTCAAATTCAAAACAATATTTGTTA